CGGGGCCGGTTCTCCGCCGGTCCCCACGCTGTGAGCGGGCCGCGGGCACAACCGGCACCGGCCGCCCCGTTCCTCCGGTGGGAACCGTCCCCGGTCCCTCCCTGCACATGACCCAAGGGCGACGGGGCCCGCGGCCCCCTCAGGCACCTGGCGCTGCCCTCGGCTCCGGCGTTGACTTTCCGCCGTTACCGTGCTACTCTGAGGAGGCAGTTCAGGGAGTAATTCCACACTAAGGGAGGGATCAAATCTTTCATAATTAAGAAATGAGCCTAGAATCCTTTGTTTTTGGAAGAAAAGGCAGATTAAAGCATCAGACAAACTAATGGTTTGCATTTGCTTAGAGATTCTTAGATGAAATCAAGAGTTTACAACGTGTTTTTGTGGTAACTTGACTTGTTCAGAATTGCTTTTTACGTGATTGCATTGAAAGCATTTTCAGAAAAGGCATTCTGATCTTGTGGTAGTTCTTACAACATGGAAATCAATTTAGAAGGACTGAAGTGCTGCCTTTGGATACCGGAAGTGCCAACGGTGATGTCGGTAAGGGTAATGGGGCTCCAGTGCTCAGGTGCCTTCGAAGCTCTGTACGTACCTCTGCAGAGCAGGAACCAGGTCTTTTGGGGACTGCACAATGCATAAGGCGTCCTGGACGCTAATCAGCAATTAAATAAAAAGAATTTTACAGAACATCCCATACAACTGTGGTTTTGAATGTTTTGTTTTAATCAGCGGTTTTGCTTTTCAGGTTTTGTAGTAATACAACCTGCTAATATCTCTGAATATATGTTTTTAATTTCCACTAGCATTAATTGGAGTTAAACATTTGCATTAGGTACATCTCCCTTGGGCTGTCTAATATTGCTTGCAAATTGTAATCAGGTAGTCAATGATTGTGAATGTACAATTAGAGTACAGATGGTTTCAACTGTGAATTACAGTCTTAATATAAATAATCCTGTTTTTTTTGCTGGGCAGTGAAATTTTTGTTTATTTGGACTGCAGGTCCTCAGCCTATATGGACAATCTTGTCACATTCAGTTTTAAGTCTGAACATTGGGTGAATGTGGTTAACTGTGAGAAATTTGGAAGGTAGACAGGATCTTGTGGGCTGAAAAGAGTATGAAATGCTGACAGAGAATAATCTTTCTGCATCGAACGGTTAATTAAGTATTAAACTTGGCAGGGTAAAGTGTCTTTAAAGTTGAACCTCTGTCACTTGTTAGTGAGATACAAATGGAAAGTATTATTACTGGACCTATTTTTGTTCATTGTTTTCCCTAAGTATTTTCACAAGTTACTAAGTAATTTGTGTTTATTGCTTGAGTCTCCGTTTTGTGAACCTCTGAAAAATCTGTATCCGTAGATCCTAGGGTCATCTTCCCCTCCCACAGCATCTCCAAACTACTTACTGTTTCCCAGAGAAAATTAGTGGGAGGAAAGTAAGGTAGCAGTTGTTTTCTTCTCAATTTAGAATGATCTTTTATTTACTCTGTATCATCAGCTATGTCTATATGAAGATTTGTTTCTGTTATTTTTAATTTCCTTCTTCCTGTTGTGTTCATCCCTTGTCTGGTTGCTTTTTATCTGAGTCGTAATTATCCAAGGTGATGTATACTCCATACCTAACTCCAAGTATGTAAGCCTTTAAGTGTGTAACATTAAGGATGTGTTTAAGTACTGTTTTGAATTGATGCCTGAGCTAATTTTGCCTATGTGATGTTGGCACACTGGGGCTTTGGAGCACTATTACTGTATTAATGAATGCTCCCGGTCCTTTAACCCATTGCTTTGCCTGTGATTTATAGCTTGTGTCCCCCAGTGCGCTTGAATAGGACTTGGGCTGTGAAGATTTTGCAGAGATGTTAATTTAGAACATAAAGATAATATAGCAATCAGTCAGCTCAGCTGATGCTACTTTTTTATAACACTATGATTAGGTAATTCTTGTGTTAATTCTGTAATTGTTTCATGTAGATTTCCAGTGGGTCCAGGGAGATGTATGTGAAGTTCAGTTGATGGTGTACAACCCTATGCCTTTTGAGCTCCGAGTAGAAAACATGGTATGTATCTTCCTAATCTCCCCTTTTTATTATTTTTTTCCTGAAAAATTTCTCAGTTGAACTTTCAAATATGGTTTTCTATAAAGCAAATAGTTTAAAAAATCGTTTAAGCCAGTATAACCTCAGTTTAACAGTGCAGTACTGTCAATTTTCTCAAATCTGTTGGTAATGAGGTATTGAAAAGAAAATCTCTGCCACTCAGAGTGTTTAAATGTTTTACTGCTACTGACCCATAAATCAATTCTGTACCTTTCTGCATTGACAAGAACTCATGCTACATAATTTACATATACTGGTTTTCAAGTAATAATTATATACTGAAACCTAATAATTAGTGTACACTTGCTACTGTAATTTAAAAATCTGCATTCATCCTAGCTTTTCAAATTCCAATTTGACCACATTTTTAAAAATTTAAATAGTTAGTTTTGAGAAGCTTTTTTTTTTTTTAATAGAAGCTTCTGCTCATGGTTATGCTGTTTCCAGTGGTATATGTTATTTGAAAACACCATAAGGTAAAATGATCGAGAGGGATAAAAAAAAGGCTAAAATACCAGGAAAGCATGTAAGGTTAGATGGGTCAAGCCGAAGCCCTCTACTTCAGTTGGCTGCTTGCAATGTATCCTGAAACACAGTAAATTTTTTTCCCCTCTTTATGCCAACTAACAGGATTTTTTTTAAATTGTTATCCATCTAAAGGTTAAAAGTCCTCTAACTACCAAATGGACTTAATCTCTGCTCAGTCCTAATCCAGTGTTGTCCTTTATGATAAATATTTTTACCTTTAATATTGCTTTAAAAAATAAATCCCATCTCTTAGAGCCCATTGTTCTGTTAGGCTAAGTGAATGAGCGTATATTTATTTGCCCTGGATTTTTGTTTGGTTTTTTATTGATCGGTCTACTGCAGTGGCTACTCAAACAATTTGACCTAAATTACTGATAATATGCCACGTGTAATAAAGTGTTTTTCCATGGGAAATGAACATGCCCAAAGGTTGTGCTTAGAGCATAATAAAAATCATTCTTGGAAGCTAACACATTGGTTTCTTCAGCAGTATTTTATCTAACCCTCACAGAAGTATTCCAAATTGTTAGGAATGAATAGAAAAAGTAATTGTAAAGCTGCGCATCAGAAAGGACTCTACATAGGAATTAATTTATTTAAGAACATTGTGATTTATAGTCTAATTTGTGTTGTGTAAGTAATGATGTAATTATATATTTAAAAAACTGGTTTTGGATAATTTCTTAATTTCTTAACGAGGAAATTTCTTATGAGTGCTTACATACACTTAAGAACTCAGAATACAGTTATTTGCACAGAGGTGCACTCCATCGATTCCCTGAGCAAATTAATTGTAGTAGCGTCAATACTTCTTTTTACTGCTAATGTGATAAAGTTCTGTCTTTGAATTAATACTGAATTTCAGTTTCATTGGTAAGCATAAGAGGAAGCAGGCATGCAAACTAGCTACAAATAATTGAAGTGATTAACATAATTCTTTAGTCAGTGCTCCATAAATAGAGTGCTTTGAGAAATTCTGCTGTGCGCTAATGTCATCTCATTGGTAGAAATTAGTTGATTTTGCTTGATTTGTCTGTGGTATCAAGACTGTAGCCAGCAAGATGAGCGAAGTAATTATTCCCCTCGATTTGGCATTTGAGAGGCAGTATCTTTAGAATCAAGGCCAGTTTTGAGCTCCCCGTGCAATAGAAATAATGGACATACTGGTATCAGTCTGGCAGTATTAATGAGATGCTAGGCAGGCTGGAGCATGTGACAGATGAGGACAGGTTCAAAGAGCTGCATCTGTTTAGTTTGTAGAAGAGAAGAATACTGCAGTAATTCCTACTGCTTTCCTCGATCCCAAAATGGGAAGGTGCAGTGAAAATGGGGCTAGAGTCTTCCCAGAGGTGCCCAGTGTAAGGATGCGAGTCAGTGAACATGTTGCAGCAATGGAAAACTTTCCTAATAAAAAAAGTTCTCTTTTCCAATTATGAAAGTGATCATATACTGGAACTGGTTGCCCAGAGAGAACGTGGGCTCTCCATCTTTAGAAATCTTCAAAACTTGAGTGTATAGGACCGTGAAAAACCTGAATGACCATCAAAGTTGGCCTGGTTTTGAGCAGTGGGCTGGGCAAGAGGACCTTTAGCATTTCCTTCCAGCCTAACTTGTTCTGATTTTCTAGTCTCATTTGTGATCTTTCTAGAATCTGTGAATAATTATTACTTTATCACAAGAATAAACTCTTTTGGTTTTATGCTAATAATTCAAAGCATTGATTAATATTTTAATATATTTTGTTTTATTATTAACATATACTCATGCCTGCAGTCCCCATGCCCACATTCTTTCATATTATTTAGCCTCATAGAATCATTTTCATAACAAGTGTATCCTTTTCTGTCATTTACTGGCAGTTTCAGCTTGTCTGTCCCACAGCATTTTTCCTTCTGTCTGACTCGGCACCTTACCTTTGCAGTATGACTAACTGTTTAAGCTTGTTTCCAATGACTGGCAGTCCTTGGAGTTCTCCATTGCTTGATTTCCTTTCTTCTTTACACTTTTCGTGGTTCACCGTTCATCAACATGTAACAAACTGTCCTGAAATCATAGAATCATAGAATAGCTTGGGTTGGAAGGGACTCTAAAGGTCATCTAGTCCAGCCCCTGTTTCAATAAGCAGGGACATCTTCAACTAGATCAAGTTGCTCAGAGCCCCGTCCAACCTGACCTTGAAAGTTTCCAGGGATGGGGCATCTACCACCTCTCTAGGTAACCTGAGCCAGCGTTTCACCACACTCGTAAAAAACTTCTTCCTTATATGTAGTCTAAATCTACCCTGTTTTAGTTTAAAACCATTATCCCTTGTCCTAACGCAGCAGGTCCTGCTAAAAAGTCTGTCCCCTTCTTTCTTATAAGCTCCTTTTAAGTGCTGGAAGGCTGCACTAAGGTCTCCCTGGAGCCTTCTCTTCTCCAGGCTGAACACCCCCAACTCTCTCAGCCTGTCCTCACAGCAGAGGGGCTCCAGCCCTTGGATCATCGTTGTGGCCTCCTCTGGACCCACTCCGACAGGTCCATGTCCTTCCTACGTTGAGGGCTCCAGAGCTGGATGCAGTGCTGCAGGTGGGGGCTCACGAGAGCGAAGTAGAGGAGCAGAATCCTCTCCCTCGCCCTGCTGGCCACGCTGCGGGGGATGCAGCCCAGGATATGGTTGGCCTTTTGGGCTGTGAGTGCACATTGCCAGCTCATGTCCAGCTTTTCATCTACCAGTACCCCCAAGTCCTTCTCCTCAGGGCTGCTTTCAATCCCTTCATCCTCCAGCCTATATTGATACTGGGGGTTGCCCCGACCCACCTACAGGACCCTGCACTTGGCCTTGTTGAACCTCATGAAGTTCATCTATAGTCTTATTCCTTTTTCCTGATTTTCCCTGTTCCCTCGTCTTTCAGTTTGTGATTTGTTGTTCTGTTAGCTTACTCATTTCATGTTAAATGAATGCTGGAAGCATCGATCCAAAGTTTTATCATGATACTTTCCCTAATGTGTCTTCCTGTTTGTTATGGCTGAAAGTTGTGATGGTAAACAACTTAGTATTGAGTACAAGTTGTTAAGGAGAATGATTCCCCATGGAAAGGCTTCTCTATCTTTTTTCACTTTTTAAAGTATTCATACTAAGTGTGTGTAGTTTAATTTTTAGTCTTGACATGAGGCTGTGGAGAAAAGACTTTGATCAGTGTTGCTTAGACTATGAGCCCTGTACTGTCTGAAAAGTTGATTTTTTTTTGGTTGTTTTGTTTTATTGTTCTCAAAGCTGTTGGCCCATCTTTGTTTTTCTTGCTGTTTATTTCCTGTCATGCATATTCACGATTTGGGACTCTAGTTAGGTATCTATTCTTCATGCATATCCCATTTCTGTATTACTTTTCTGTATTTCTCTATTCCGTGTTTTTCTTTTGTCCATATAGTTAAAAGGCAGATCCAATGAAAGGTGCAATAATATGACAAATGAAAATGTTGAATTGTGGAATATGGAGGTGATTAGGTCCAACAACTGTGTATTTTGGTCAATAAAGCGAAGCAGAAGAGATCATAGGGAAGTGCTTTAGCAGGTATCTTAAACAGAGTGAGAAAGAGAGACAAAAATGAGCCTAACTAGCTTTGACTGAATGCTTTTGCTATCCTATCGGTGGAGCCCTAGTTAACAGGAGATGCGGTGTTCAGCTGTAATATGTGTATATACCATTTTACATTTTTTTCCCCCAGGAATATTGATTTCTGTATAGACTTGTTCAGCTATGTGAATGATAACCTCTATCTCTTTTGCAGTCAGTAAGCCTTTTTTTCTGTCCAGGAAAAAATGACCTTTTAGGGTTCAGGCCTTCAGGAAAACCCCAAAATTCTGGGAAATCTCTGATGGATTTATTTTGTATATTAGGGCAAATGTTTAAAGCAGTAAATCATGGTACAGTCTAGTGAGATCTACTATTAAAGTAAAATGCAGGTGAAGGTGGACTGCAAAGTGTGTTGTTCTCTAAGATTTTAACTTTTTCCCTCTTTGTTTCTCAAGTTTCATATTAAAGGAAAAAAAAGCTGAGAAATTTTGAGGCAATGTTATTTATTGAGTGAAAGCATTTTTTTCTGCACTTATTATGGAAAATATAGCCATGGTTCTAAGGAGGGTACAGTATACACAGAGCAGTGTAAACTGTATTTAATAAATTAATATGGAGAAACTAAAAAGTACTACCCCCAAACATGGGGGTAACGTAATTTATGGTATTAAGAGCTCATTATTCAAAAAGAAAGTCTTTGTTTGAAAGTTCTTCTGTTTGGAGCATGTATTTATTTGAAGACAATTAAGTCTAGTATTTTGATTAATGATGGTATAAGAATGGCTGTTACTTTTTCTTTTTTTTTGTGAACTTAAGAACTGTACTGTTAGCCAAGAGCTCTATATTGATGTTTAAAAATACCATCTAAAATTTTGATAA